TCGATCGCGCGTCATTCAGCACAAGAACGAGCTTCACCATGTCCAAATGCAAAACCTGACCATGCGGCAGTATCTCAACCACGTCAAATCCATAGTCGACAACATTGCGGCATCCGGATCTCACGTCGACACTTCGTTCAAAGCTGCCATCCGCACCTCCCCGCTCCCTATGGATCTTGATAACCTTTATTCTCTTCTTTGCAGTGAAGAGATTAACGTTCATCAAGAATTATCCAGAGAAAATTCAACGGCATCCGGCGCTACAACTCTCCATGCCATGTCTTCAAATCAGTCCCGCAATCGTCCTCCGCGAAGATTTAGCAAGAACCGCACGATAAACACGGGAAACACTCCGCCTCAACCCAGCACCATTTCGAATGCGCAAAGCACTGCCTCTCCGAACATCACTCTACCTATTTGTCAGATCTGTAATAAAGTCGGTCACATAGCACTTAACTGCTGGCACCGTTCGAACCCAAGGTTTGCTCCGACCAATCCACGATCCATTTCAGCTCTGCTTGCACAACCGACTTCGACTACCTCCCAAGATTGGATCATTGATTCGGGCGCCTCCAACCATCTCACTCCCGACTTGAACAATCTACAATATCAGACACCATATCACGGTTCAGACGGTGTTTCCATTGCTAACGGGTCGCAACTTCCGGTCGCTCACTCCGGCCAGGGACTTCTTCCGCTCCCCGAAACTCCCCGTAAGCTGAATTTACGTAATCTTTTACACGTTCCACATATTTCTCATAATTTGTTATCTGTCTCCAAATTAACCACTGATAATCCGGTTTCTGTGAGTTTTAATGCTAATGGATTCAAAATTAAGGATCGCAAGGACCGCCGTCTTCTTCTTCATGGACCTCTTCATAATGGCTTGTACCAACTTCGTCCCTCCGCCAAAGCCACGCCCACAGCTCTCCACGCCAGCAAAAATCAAGAGTCGCTATGGCACGGTCACTTAGGCCACCCGCATCACCGGCTGCTCAAAGAACTTGTTTCTTTAATTCCCGATCTCACCAAAATTTCTAATAATTTTTTCTGCAAATCTTGTACAGTGGCAAAATGTCACAAACTTTCGTTTAATAAAAATGTTTCCACTTCTTCCGCCGCTTTCGATCTTATACACTCTGACGTCTGGGGTCCTGCCCCCGTTTACTCTTCAGAAGGTTTTCGTTATTATGTAGTTTTTATAGACGATTTTGCATGCTTTTCGTGGATGTATCTCATGAAAACGAAACAGGAAACCTTCTCCAAATTCAAACTATTCCAGCAACACGTACAAACCCAGTTCCATACCACACCGAAGGCTTTTCGATCAGACGGAGGCGGTGAGTTTACAAGCCATGAGTTTTCGGCATTTCTACAGCAACACGGCATCCAAAGACAACTCAGCTGTCCTCACACGCCGGAACAGAATGGGATTGCAGAACGAAAGCACCGACATCTATTGGACCTCGCTCGCACATTGTTACACGCTGCACATTTACCCGATACTCTGTGGGCTGAAGCCATCTCCACGGCCAACTATCTTGTTAACCGGCTACCCTCAGCATCCATCAACAATCAAATTCCCTTCCATCGTCTTCACGGCTATCCTCCGACTTACACTTAGCTTCGCACCTTCGGGTGCCAGTGTTTTCCATGGCTACGACCCTACGCCGCTAACAAACTTTCGCCGCGTTCCCAAGAATGCGTATTCATTGGGTATTCCCCCTTTCACAAGGGTTATAAATGTCTGGACATCCGATCTAATAGAATTTATATCTCCCGCCATGTCACATTTAACGAAACTAATTTTCCCTACAAAACTCTCCACAACGCACTAAATCCGACTCTCTCACCATCGGTTCAATACACACCTCCCTCTCTGCTTGTCCCGCCATCTCTCATAACCAAACAAATGCCATCAACTACGACTTGCCCAACTCTATCTTCCCACTCCAGCAACCAGTCTGCTCACCCATCTTCACAAAACACAGAGGCTCCCTCTCATAATACAGCTCTTTCCTTACCACCCATTCAGAACAACACGACCCAACCGTCCCATCCCATGCAAACCAGACTAAAATCTGGAATTACCAAACCAAAACAAATCATGTCTCTACTAACCATCACTCCTCACAACTCGACCCCGAACACCTACGCTCAGGCCGTCAAGCAACCTCACTGGCGTCAAGCAATGTCTGACGAGTTTCACGCACTTCAGAAACAGACTACTTGGACACTCATTCAACCACCGGCCAATACACCCATTCTTGGGTGCAAATGGACATTCAAAATCAAACTTCTTCCCAACGGCTCTGTCGACAAATATAAAGCAAGACTTGTCGCACAAGGCTATGATCAGCAATACGGTATTAACTACAAAGAGACGTTCAGCCCCGTCGCAAAAATGACCACAATTCGCATCCTCCTTACTCTGGCCGTCAACCGACAGTGGCAATTAATCCAACTAGACGTCTTGAATGCCTTCCTCCATGGCGATCTTACCGAAGACATCTACATGCGACAGCCGCCGGGCTTCATCGACGCTGCTTCACCTTCCTCGGTCTGCAAACTACGTAAATCTCTCTACGGTCTCAAGCAAGCACCGAGACAATGGTTTGAAAAACTTACCTCATTCCTACAAACACAAGGATTCAGGTTTACTCGCTCCGACCCATCTCTTTTATCTTATCAATTGAATCATATACAAATTTTCTTCTTAATTTACGTCGACGACATTTTAATTACAGGAAATAACTCGGCGGCCATCACTGCTCTACTATCCAAACTGCATTCTCAGTTTTCCCTCAAACAGACCAGCCAGCTCTCACTGTTTCTAGGAATTCAAATACTCCAGCAACCCTTCGGTCTCTTTCTCTCACAGCAACATTACGCCGAACGACTGCTCAAAGATGCAGGGCTCACTGACTGCAAACCTGCAGTCACACCGATCTCTCCCAAATCAAGACATACCGCTTCACCCAGCCAGCCGTTTCACGATCCGACCCTGTACCGACGATTAGCTGGCTCTCTACAATATCTATCCATCACCAGGCCGGACATCGCTTTTGCTACGAACCAAGTTTGCCAACATATGCACCAACTGACCACTCAACACTTTCAGGCTCTCAAACGACTACTCCGATATGTCAAAGGTACCCTCTCATTTGGACTTCCGCTAACCACAGGGGATCTCACCTTACGGACATATGCTGACGCCGATTGGGCGTCCGACTCTTCCGACCGGAAATCAGTTTTCGGGTTCTGCTCCTTCTTGGGACCAAACCTCATATCTTGGTCCGTCAAGAAACAAGTCACGGTCGCAAAGTCCTCTACCGAGGCCGAATATCGGGCACTCTCGGCTGCCACCTCCGACGTTATCTGGTTACGTCGTCTTCTCGCGGAGCTTGATATTCCGCAGCCTTCTCCTACCATAATTCACTGCGATAACACATCAGCGCTTGCTCTTGCTCAGAACCCCGTCTTCCACGCCAGGACCAAGCACATTGAAATCGACTACCAGTTCATCCGTCAACACCTAAAGACAGGAGCTATTTCTCTCACCCATATACCGTCGGAACAACAAATTGCCGACATTCTCACTAAATCTTTCTCAGCTGTTCGCTTTGATATTCTTCGTCGCAAATTAACCATTCGTTCAAAGAATGATTAATTTGAGGGGAGATCTAAACGAACAAGTATCATATTTTAGATTATTACCAGTTTACCCTTGTATTCTTTATATATAGCATTCTGTACACATTAACTAATTACATAATAATAATTTTCATCTTTTCTCCTGCTTGCTCTGTTTCCTCTTCTTGTCTGTCTCCTTCGTTTCTCATCTCTATCACATATCACATTTGGTTAAATTTATACATATAGAAACAACATACCATTACCCCATTAGAAAGCTCTTCTTGCATCAGTGCACATGCACTTATTCAGTATCATATAGGCCGAACATCATATATGTTCATCTAGCCCTCCTTCAAACACGTTGGGACTTAACCTTCTCATGTTTCTTTGTGCCTCTCTCATTCTTATCTCTCCAAAGGATTCTACTTCTCAAGACAACCTATAACCACAATGATTTATTCTGTACCATAAAATTTAACCATTCAGCAAACATTTAATAAAACTTAATAACCTACTCAAGCATGAAAGAATTCACATCTACAGTAGTTAACCCATGTAGCCCGTGATTCACCCGATTTAGGCATCGTTTGGGACGGCTTTTTTACTGCTTCTTAAAGCAACTTTCTAATACTAAAATTTTAATTTGATTATGTTAAAAAGTTGCTTTGAGAAAGCCGTCCCTTTCTGTTCTTGACCTCTTTATGTTCACATTTTCTTAAAGCAGTAAAAAAGCCGTCCCAAACAAAGCCTTAATCTTCTCCTTGACTCAAATCTCCTAATCTTGCTAAACTTACATCTAAATTTCACCTACACCTAATGCTCTTTGAGATAGTCAGCTTATATTCTAATCAGACTTATATCCACTACTGCTGAACTTATATTCTAATCATGCCTGTTTCCTGAATCTCACACATCTTATATCATGTCTAAACTCCACTATACATACTAGACCTGTCAATTTCGGGTTACGGGTCGGGTTGACCCGAACCCAAAACTGACCCGGTATTATTCGGGTTCGGGTTGACCCGACCCGGTTTTGCAAACGGGTCGGTTTTCCGGACCCGAACCCGACCCGCTTCGGGTTCGGGTCAACCCAAACCCGAAAATTCCGGGTCGGGTTCGGGTCGGGTCCAATATTGACAGGTCTAATACATACCATCCTTCAGTAGATATTTAATCGCCTCAGTTCAGATCTATATAAGAGAATGTGGTTAAGGTAGTCGATTTCACAGATGACTCTTGAGAAAAAATTCTGCGAAATAGAAGTTTCGGATACTAATCCCGTAATTGAAAATGAAATTCAATCACTTTACATAATATATATCAATAAAGCGATTTTATAAATAATGAAACATTTTAAAAAATTACAATAAATCTTGCATAATTGCCTTATCGCCCAACGTTTTTTTGAATTTAACAAAAACACACAAAAAAGTAGCTTTCGTTGTTTCGCAATAAACATAAATGGGAAAACTATAAAAGTGAAAAAAATTTGGACGTTCAACAGGCTTGCCCTCCATGCATCTTAAATCCAAAAGATAATAACCGGAGAGCAGCACAAAAAATATACAAAACAAAAAACCTACATCTAATAAGTAGAAGCAGACCCACGAATCAACTACTCAGATCCTAAATGTACATCGTGTCAGCAGCAGCGAAATTTAATACATCAGAAGCAAACCAGCAAGCGCAGTTAAGAAATTAGCATCTGATCCCGAACACAGAACTCAAACCAAGTGTCAATATTCATAAAGATCTGCAATCCCTACTTCGTCATCTCCTATGATACATCTGCAATAGTACAACAGTAGTTAATACAGCTGCTTGACTAATGAGTAATCAAATTTTCTTCCAATTATTCATTAAAATCGGGTAGACTTTTTTCAACATTTTCCAAGTAAAAATGATTACCTATGAATTTACATTCTACCAATTCCTTCAGACCAAACATAGCCATTAATTAATGGGCTTGTGAAATTTTAAAATAGATAGCCGCATATCTAATGGGCAGCTCGTTTAGCCTGTTAAAACCCATATAACGGGACAAAAAGAAAGCTCAATAATCTGTTGAAGCCACAATTATCTCCTACAACTTTTACAGGACAATGATCCCGGCAGAGACTGCCTACTCCAAGATCCCAACAAAGAACCAAGGCACCCATGGTTGTAATTAGTAGCTTCTTGATGCAGATCTTCAAGTCTGCCAGCACAGGAAGAGATCAAGCGAACCATAGGTTATATATACACTCGCATATGCCTTTTTAAGTATCCAACATGTAGTCAATAGGTCATATAGCTTGTGAGCTCGTACTACATGAACCTAACAAGGAGAACTTGCCTAAGGGCATCCAAGACCTAACTCGACCAAACACCTGAAGGAGACTCGTCCCTCACAAGAGCAGTCAAAGGTTCTCGCAGACCACTTAATTCATCACTCACCCTCCAGCGAGAACTAGCACCAAAGTCACTCTTCGCTATCTATGAAGGGGCATCGCATACCGTGCTCATCATCTCATCCACAAGAAACTACCTTTTCAAGAGGGTTCCAGCTTGCCCCATCACAATCAGCCGACCGCAGGGCCTACCATTCCCATAACTCAAGCATACTTGCATACCACTCAACATCCATAGCACCAACAAAGGTTGCTAACAGCTTTTGGATGCTCGTCAATCACAACCCACTTAGCTCAGCATTCACCAGCAGACATGCCTATAATACTCGCACTTGCACACTCGATGCTATGAAACTCTCCCCGAGATATAGAAATAAGACTAAGAGATACAATCACCTATCAAGTTAGCCAAGGTGAACCACATGTCTAATGATATTTAAGCTAGTAGATTATTCTCTACATAGTTTCCCCCCTCTCTTTCTCTCCATTCTCACACAAGTTTTCATGTCATACCCATAGAGCTCACATATTAGTAAGGAGTGTCATCCACAAACAAACTTATATATCCAACATCCTGAAAGGTGCGACAAGCATGGATTGATGTCAGTGACTAAAAGACAAGAACATATTGACAAGCAGACTCACCGCGAACCCTTACTAAACATGGAGAATACAAACTACACTTACTCGTTGCGATCTCAAGGAAACGAAAGAGAAATTGATAAAAATGATCGAAGACATCCAAGCAAGAATTCCTAAGCACACGCAGAGAGAGAGCACCCCAAAAGGGTCATCTAACTTGGCAATTCACTATAGAAGGCTTGGATAGTACAGCACTGACCTCAACACCTATTCCAGACCCTACTCACACGGTGAAGAGTGATAAAGAATACAATCCACCTCCTTAGCACACTAGAGAAATTAAACCCGAATTGATGAACACTTTCTCTAGCGAGATCGCATAAGCGAAGCTGCCTCCGAAGTTTATAGTGCCACACTGGAGTTTATAAGGGTAGGACTAATCGAGTGGACCACGTAGCCACCTTTGAGTCAATGACATTGCTACTAGACATCGATGATACTCTAAAATGTTGTTTATTCTTCAAAACCCTCAAGGAGTATGAATTTAGAGGATTTACCCACCGTCCAATTGGAGTCATCTCCTCAAAATTCAAGATGTATGTAACTTCGCTTATCAACGCCTAGAAACTGTCACAAGCGCTTCTCAAAATAAGGTAAGAACCAGGAGAGTTAATAAGGAGCTTTATTGTAAGGTTTTAGAGAGAGATATCAGAGGTGAAAGACTTGGTACCGGCAGTTGCCAAGCTTCTTTAACTCAAATACTAAGGGAAGGTTCTTTTCGCTACAAACTCGGCATAAAACTTCAAAGATTACCATTGCAAGCTAGGTCGCTCATGATTGTTGGTCCACTCACGCCGAGGTTAGCCACTTGCCCTTATCACAACGGTACACACCACACCTGTAACTATGTCACTTTTACACCACTATGACACTTCAAAGGGTTAGTTGAAGACCTCATCAAGGCTGAAAAGTTGAAGGAGTTTGTGCTTGTCAAGTCTGGTCGATGCTCAGGCAAAGCCCCAATGGAAAGCAACATGAATGATCTCATTCCAACGCGCACCATTCACATAACAAGAGTGCGGCCCAACACCCTAAGGGGCGAGTGAGCTGACTCCCAGGTAGTGACTAAGAAATTGAAGGTAGGAGAAGTCAATTCAATGTCCACCTCATAAGCACCCATGATGGACATCACCCATCATATTTTGCAAAACAAATAGACCTGCTAGAGGAAACCCCTACAATGATTGAATAGTCATCACAGTCTTAATAGTCAACTTTTTATTAACGCAAAAGATGGCTAGTCCACTTACATTGGATTCAATCAACAAAAAGACCAATCTCACACAACAAATACATTTATTAAATGTCGAGACAGTTAAAATAGGATTCAATACTGTGAGATTGATGAGGAGCCCCAGGCTTAGAATATTTTGAAAGCAATTTCAATGGTTACTAGTGAGTCTAAGTGAGAATTTGACTCTTAATAAAACACAATATTGAAAAAGGATTCATATGACCAACCCAACGTAATGAGATAAAGACTTCTAATTGTTGTTGTGTACTAGACAATCAAGTGTTACCCTAACTCACCAAGGCATTATCTACCGAGTTATTCTTCCACCGAATTAAAGTTTATAGAATTATACAATGGCAATCTCCTTTAATTCATTTAGAAAAGTCCTTCATAATTATGCTTTCATCTAATGACCAAGTTACTTATTCATTTAACGGCCGACTTGCTTGCTTATTCATTTGTGGCCGAGTTATTTAATTACTCATTGATAATTGGATTACTCATTTATTCATTTGTGGCCGTGCTACATTTTTGCCCTTAAATAATTGAGTTTGCTATTCATTCATGAAAACAAAAATAAGAATGAGGAAGAAGAAGAATTTGTGATGCAAGTCAAAAATTCTTTGCATTATAGGTGTTGTTGCATCTTGAGATCCTAATTAACATGTTTCCATTGCATCACAAGGAGCGATTGTGAGGAATTTTCATGCTTGAGTTCAAACTTGAATAAGTTTAGTGCGACAAGAGTTTACACCAGTCAAAGGTTCTCAGCCCTGCAAGGTACTCTTTCAATTCTTTTTGGTCCCATCACGAAGTTCAAGCTAGGAATTCTATGGTGAAACTCTTCAGACAAGGATATTAAGAAAGCACAAAAGGGCAAGGTACTAACGACCAGGCCAACAACTTATATTTTTTTATTATTTTGACTATCCGATCTAGCTCATAGGTTGTTGAGTGCATGACACCTATCCACAAAATGTATATGATTTAGCAGGTTCCACATTGGGACATTGGCATCTGCCAACAGTAAAAAATTCATGATCGCATCCCGCGCATATTCAAATTATAGACCGCATATGATTCTGCTTCTGCTTCTACAGATAAGACGAAGCAAGAACAAAATAAATATGGGGAAAGGAGTTGAGTTGTTTTACGTTGTTCCGGTCAAGCACTCTTTTCTTTGCCCAATTCCATCATTATCCTTAATAGCAAGGCTCCCCAAACTCTCCTCTTTCAAGTAGCCCTAAACAAAAGCGTAAGCCTTCAGAAGGCAACCCTCGCAGTAGCTCGCCACTATTGCACTAATGCAAAGGTGGTTTACCAGGCATTTCCATAGAGTTTATAGTTCTGAAGCCAAGCTCACCTTTGAAGAATGCCTTGAGGTCTGCCTCCAATAACCTCGAGAAGATAAAACGCCCCTAGTCAAAACACTTTCCTGGGAAGGGGGTGGTGTTGCTGCCCTCGTTCACTGAGTCCCTCTTTTTCTAAGAGAGAGATCAGAGAAGTAGCTCAACTCCTCTTCAATTCCCTCCTCAACCTCTAAGATAACATGCTTGCCCCTACCTGGCATTGTCGCCAATGGCGGGGAGTAACCTATTTCCTTTCCTCACTTCTTGGCCACCACCTCATACATGACCCTTGCTAGGAATAAGAGAATGAATTTTGGTTATCTTCATCGTTGGGGTGTTAGTCGCACCATTCCCCTTCAAAGGAGCCTGCGTCTTCTAAATCGTAGTAGGCTTCTTCATAATAGGCTTTTTAAGGAGAGCAAGGACAGCCACCTCTAACCTCATCCTCTTGATGGGCGGCTCTCGCACATCCTTGGTGCTTATCAGGGGACCTTCTTTCCCATGCTTGCCCCCTCCCTACTCGGCGAAAGGAAAGCCACCTCCCCTTTTCTCTACTTAAAGTCTAGAGAGAAACTTCTTTCTCCATTGAGAAGTCTAGAAGGGAATCAACATTGACCTTCGTCTATACACCATTCTTTCAAAATCCATGAATGGTTGATCCAGAGCTTGCCTACGGATTCGCTTATGACGAACAAGGCAACGTCAACATCCTCCACTCTACCTTCGATTTCGACCCGGAAGTTGATCGTTCCATTGAAGAATACGTGGACTGCATCATATTCACGCTTTTGGAGGCCATTGACGAGCAACTTTCCAACGTCCAATGGCAAATCGTTTCCAGACCATCCCAAGGGTAAATTTCTTCCCCTTTTCATTTAATTTCCTAATCCACTAATCTTGTAGGTGGTGACAAGTCACAAGGAGCCATGCTTCGCTGCTTAGTAACATAGAAATGAGTGTACTTTCTATGTTGCTATCTTATTGTTAGATTAGAGATTTTTGTTGAAAACTACTTAGTTCGCATGTTGTTGAAGTTCTTTATTGTTGTGATTATTCAAGCGCTTATTATGTAATTTGGCCTAAACGTAGTGACCACTCTTACGTTTTCTCTTTTCGTTTTAAATAGCTAATAGTCTTAATTAATCTTGTTCTGTTCAAAATCATGCGAGTTCTTAACGCATTCATTTAAAAGCATTGTAGTTCTGCATCACCGGCGGCTTGGAATGGGGTGCCGTGAAGGACGGTGGTGTGGGAGGGGAGGGAGCTAAGGCCGGCAGCCTGAAGAAGAAAGAAGAAGGAGAAAACTCAAAGAAATTTGATAGAACCATGAATCCAGACTTCTCCTGCATTTGGTCCAAGGGACTTCACCAAATTTCTCTCCTAGAACTCTCACAACTCTCCACATAACACATGTGCAGGAATTTTTTTTATTATCATTCATCATCCTCCTAAGAGGGAAAAGAAGGCTATAAATAGGCTCTCATACAAGAACGAAACAAAAGACCAAACTACCCCCTTGGGATTACATGCATCTAGTCCCTCAAATGAGGGCAAAAACAAAAAAGGACACTAATAATAATAAAATTATAATGCATCAATCATAAATAAAAAAGATGCGAGAGTATCCATAGATCTCTGATGCCTCCTCGCATCAGAATCTCCTATTGATATCCTCATCAAAAAGAAAGACTATTTACTAATGATTCTGAAAGGAGTTGTAACCAATGATGATTCAGAGTTTAATAAGTTATCAAAATAGTTTAAAATTTTGTTATAACATCTATTAACTTATGCAAACACAACACAGCATTTTGGATAATCAAAAAATTGTGAATATTAGGTAGAATAAACCTGTAACAATGCGCCATAATAATAACAAATTTCAATATTTTTTTTAACAGTTTATAAAAATTACAAGGACTTCAAAAACATGCTCTTCTCATTCTCATTCACTTATCAAGAACATGTTTTTTTAACTTTTGTCGCTATCCCAACTTCATGGTTTGCATACAAAAACATCAAAGAAACACAGCAAGACATTAGTTTCATTTCCAATGCTCCAAACTAAAAATTATAAAGATAAAAAAAAAAAAAGACATTTAAAACGCTGAGAAGACAAAAACATTTACCAAAATTTCTTTTCATGTATTCACTAGTTGGGAACATGTAAACGGATCTTATGTTATGATACAGAAGACAAGTGATTGAGACTAACTAAATTGAATAGGCAAAGATTTTGCTAATATTGAAGGTAAGAGAGAACAAACTAATATCATAAGTAGAATTTTCCAATAAGCCCAAATAAAGAAAAAGATTTTGCTACTCTAGAAAATACTAACACAAACCAGTAAGATTACAGAAAATAATGTACACGGAGTCTTTCATTAACTTAACACAAACAAGAAAATAGAATTCTAAAAATGCCATCTCCTCCAATCTTAAGTAAACCACAAAAAACAAAACTTTCATCCACGTTAACTAACTTACAAGTACGTCCTCAATTACTTCAAAGGGCCTCCAAATGGGTATTAATGTTATCAGCGAAACAAAATGGCTATCAAATGCAGACACCAACAAGCACGGTTACTAATGATATCAGCAAAACAACATTGAGATGGCTATAAAATGTAGACATCAGCAGCAATATTGCAGAATATTCTCTTAGAACTACTACAGACAATAATCAGTAAATTCCATCCTCTGCCGGCAAAACAGTTTACATTTTTACTGCTGAGATGATGTTATGTTTAGATGAAATTATAACCATCTAAGGCAGCAGCCCCAATTTAACAAAAATATAGCAAATGTCAACACATCCACCAAAAAAGATGGACTGACAGGTCTTAAACCCCACAACATGACTTCAATGGTTCAAAATTTGAGTGTGAATATAGATAATAAATTCAAAGAAATCAAATGTTTACCTGCATTACATTATTTTATGCTCCAGGTTACTGTGCAACATCAGATTCAAACCCAGAAGAACTGTCGCTATCTGAATCTGCACAATCACTTAAGTGTAAGTTTCCTTCAAGGAAATGATTTAAGCATACTAATTTAAAAAAAAGGGGATTTATATGTATACCACAAAATGCTAATGTATTTTATGTATAACACCTAAATCTTTGTATTTACATTCTATATATTAAAAATATCAATAATATTAACTTATTTAAAGTGAAATATAATTTTTCATGTATATATTTTGATGTGATTTAGAAACTAGAGTATTATATAAATAAATATAAAGATATAGATGTTAGATATGAAAATCCATAAGAAATTTGGTATGCATTTAAATGACAAAAAAACAAGCTAGATATATCAAAGGCCTAAAGTTTGAATGGACAATGTGATGGAAATATGCAATAGATTATATATTATGTATGAAAATTGCAGAAAAAAAAAACATCAATAACAAGCATATACCACTGGACGTTGAACCAGAATCACTGCTGGAGCTACTTGAACTACTTGATCTACTTTCAATCTCCACAATTGCTCCACCTGTTGATGAAGCAATGCCTTTAGAAACTGGGCCTATTTTCAACACATGAGCAAAGGGTTAGCTTGGCTAATATGAAAAAGAAAAAGCTAATAATTATAATGTTACCTGTTTTACTTTCCTTCAGTGACTCTGGAAGAGCAGCATCAGACATCTGAAAAAGGGAAAAAGTTGTTTAAGATGGATCAAATTACTACAATATAAAACATAATACATACCATTCTTTGATCCATGTCTTGGGCATGCTGCTCGTATTCTGCCCTTGCAAGAATGGCAAGTGCTGCCTTCCTTTTATTCTTGCTCAGACTCTTTTTATAGTTGGTTACAAACCTATCAAGCTCCCAAAGAGTCTCAATGTCCACACTGTCAATGTCCACCTCAATCTCATCATCATGTTGGCTTACTGAGAAGTTCCTTTTCCTAATTATCTGCACAACTATATCCAACTTTTCAGACGGAAGTTTTTGCAGGTTATCGCTCAGCCTCTGCTTCTCATCAAAGGTCATGTCCCGTTTATTTGGATCCTTAGCCTTAGGCTTTTTCGATGCTGGAGGTAGCCCAATGTCTGTTAAGTGATTCATCATTTTCTTTTTTAAATCTACACCCGTGTGATGAACAGTTGAATCTGACCTCTCTAGAGTCTTCCTCATGTCAACAGGTGGAGGCCTGTTCAGTGATGGAGGATAATGAAAGTAAGCTAGGTCAGCCTCTATTACAGGCCACCGTTCCTCAAATATCTGCAAAAGTTGCTCAGCCAAGATATGAACATCCTGCCCCTTTGGATTATAAGTCATTGCGTTGCAGAAGGTGAGTCTCACATCCTCAGCAAACTCCCTAGGAGTCTTGTACCAATTTTTGCTCAACCGGGACTTCACAGTACCAAGGTCCATTGGATGTTTGATAATTTTATGATAATCTGTGAGGCCAAGAAAATCGGCATCAACAGGATTGTTAAAAACCCAGCCATGGTTGTGCTTCATAAGCTTCGAAAGCAGTACCCCGCACTTCTTAAAGGCCTGCTCATAAAATTTTCTGTCCACAGACTGCATGCCATTCTTGTTACCATTCGCCTTGGACTTCTTGTGATACTCCTGTGATGGGAACTTGTCCTTCCCAAGAAGAAAATCTGTATTCTTATAGTACTGATTGGCCTTTGGAGTTCGCTTCTCCTTCTCCATAGTGTCACGAAATCCATTATCACCACCAGCTCCAGCTGGAACTGAGACACTTAATTGGGGGCGTAATGATTGAGTTGGGGCAGCAACCGAAACAGTCTCTGAGACTTCCAGAGCTCTTTTAGTGGGAAAAGAAGCTCCGACATCATTGGCAGAGCTGCGCCCAGTGGCTGAGGCGGCCTTACCTGCACCGTAAGCGAAAAACTGGAGCTTCCGGGCCTCGAGTTTCCTAGCAAGGGAACGCACCAGCTGAAGCTCGTAATTTAGCTTCCTGCGCAGCTCCCGGAATTCATGCTTTGTCAGGGAAGCGAGATTGATAGTTACAAGCCGGTTCTGTCCATTGGAGATGTCGTGATTGGCACTGGGCTTGTGGTTAAGGCTACAGGCGTCTTCGTCGGAGGCAGTAGTCGATTGGTGAGGTGCCGATGACCGGTGATTCTCCTGACGAGTGGGGTGGGGCTGCTGCAAGGAAGAATTGACGTCATCGGTGGTGGTGACTAGGGTTTGCGAGGAAGCAGGGGGCTGGATTACAGGAGGCTGAGGGTTTTGATTTGTGCTGGTCTTAGTGCCTTTGTTGTGGATTTTTCGGGTGTAAACCATGCTCTCCACCCACCGCCGCTTCTCAAGGGAGCCATCGCAGCCGCCGTTCAACAGAGGGCCCGACGCCATACATCAAAAGATGCTATCTCCTTTCCCCTCGAACCCTATAAACTAGATCTTCAAGAGCTGGATCAAGGATTTATCAAGGTTTTGTGGAAAGCACACATGCAGTCAAAAGGAGGATTGAAAAACAGAGAAGTATAAGTGGAAAGAGACGATAAACGGAAGCTGTGGAGGTGGAGGTGGAGGTGGAGCTAGGATTTCAGTGGAACGGTCGAGCAAGCCACCGACTTCTATGTCGATCTACACGGCACTAATTAAAGTGCTATGGCGGACAAATATATCGTTGCCTCATTAGAAATTATACACGTTTTTTATTTTAATTGGTGGATATAGGTGCACTGTGGACGACAATCCAGGGGTGATGCAAAACTACGCTTCTAACCGGAAGAGAGTGCGGGAAACGGAGCTGACGCCGTTTTCAGATCCGTACCATGGCCGTAGAGGGAGAACTTTTATTACATCCGGTGAACGTACGTTCCTCTACGTTCGGTTTTAAATCAAAACAGTGCAATATCGAGTTTTTTGAAAAACTCGGTACAACTCGGTACTCGGTATTGCGCTTTTTTGCCCAGAACCGAACGTAGAGAAGCGTACGTTCACTGGATAAAATAAAAGTTCGTAGAGAGAAGCAAAGTGCATTAAAAAACTAATGTAATAATAACAACTATTTTAATTAATAAATACAAATATAAGTCTTTAAAATATATTTTATAAAAAATTACGTTTACCTTAATATAAATATTATTTTTATTTCAAAAAATTATTTTTAACTGTAAATAATTTAATTACAAACTTATATTTATTATAAAGGGAAATTATTATTGATATATCATTAAAAAATTATCTTGATCGGACACGAATCTCGAGGAAAAATCAAGTTGGAAACTTCAAAAATAAATCTGGGACCATCTGAACTCTAATTTCAGCAAACTTATAGTCGAACTGAGCGTCTCGGAAATACGAACCCAACGACACAAAATTCAACTCAATCCGAGCCCAAATGGGTCCAAATCGAAGACATGAAGCACATTTGAAAGGTTCAATCCATAATTTGGATTACCAAACAATTTCTAAATATGACATTCTTATAATCAAATCAAGCGGCTCGACGAGACAAATCCAACGAGCCCAATATCATCAAATTCCGATATCAATAAGATTTTCAATTGTCTGACGAACGGTCCACGATCAAGGGATTCAATATCGGCCGTCCATCCAAACCACTCTACATTTGCCCTTGATCCTCCTCCTATTTACGAGTCATGCCACTCTCAGAAAACTAGAAATAGCCCCTCATTTACCCAAGCAAGAAGGAAGAAAGAAGAGGAGAAGAGAAGAATAAGAAGGAAGAAACTCCTTCTCGACCACTGCCGGAGTTCCGTCCGACCTTCAAGTGACGCCGGAATTCCGCTGAACTCCAAGTGACGCCGAAATTCCGCCCGACCTCCAAGTGATGTCTGAATTCCGCCCAACCTCCAAGTGACATCAGAGTTCTATCTGAACTCCAAGTGACGCTGGAGTTTAGTCCAACCTTCAAGTGACGCTAAAGTTCCACCCGAACTCCAAGTGACGCCGGGATTCCGCCCGACCTCTAAGTGACGTCGGAGTTCCGCTCGATCTCCAAGTGACTATAGAGTTTTGCCCGAATACCATCTAACGTCGGAGTTCTCCCCAGTCGTCGACTAACGTTAGACTTCTACTCGACGTCGGACCTCCAATCGTCGCTAGATTTCTACCCGACGTAGGACTTCTGCCCGTTGTTGGACTTTCATCAGACATCTATTCGATGTTAGATTTCTGTCAATTGTTTGACTTCTATATAACGTCGTCCTTCTGACCTCCGTTGTTAGCCAATGATCCTTCCAACTTACGTCACTCATCGACTACGGCCCTTCTGACTTACGTCGCCCTCCGATTACAGTCCTTCTAACCTTCATCATTAGACAACGGTCTTTATGACCTCCGTCGCACACTGACTACATCCCTTCTTATTGAAACTTGTTCCATATGAATTAGGTTGTTAGACCTAAGCTTTTGTCCCAGCGGCTAACCAAGAGGGGGGTGAATTGGTAATTAAAAATTTATCCCCCTTTTTAAAATTAAAACTGAGAATAACTATAGTGAATTTTATAGAAAAAGTTTTTCAACCACAATTTAAACAGTAAAGCAAAAAAGCAGCGGAAAAAATAAAAGACACAAGATTTATAGTAGTTCGTTCAAACACGACCTACATCCACTCCCCAGAGGCACCCTCCGAGTATTGCACTATTACCACTAGTGACTCTCCTTTTGCACCCACAGTAAGGTAGAGAAGCATTTACAAAAACTCTCTTCCACCACTATCCGGTGCGGTAGAGAACCGTCTTCCTTTTACACTCTCTAAGTGTTAGCAGAGAACCGTCGTCCTTTTACACTCTCCAAGTATTGACAGAGAACCGTCCGTCCTTTCACAATCTTCTAGTGTAGGCGGAGAACCCTTCGGCTGTTCACACTCTTCAAGTGTAGGTAGAGAACCCTTCGTCTGTTCACACAATCTAAGTGTTGGCAGAGAACTGGATCTCCTTAACAGATCTTCTCACAAGAAATCTAGAAGGACGAGAGAAAAGAGTGAAGAAATCATAATTCACAAGTGGAGATTCTTACCTTTGAGTACCAAGTGAATCTTTCATGCTCCAATAGTAAGAATCCTCCTTCAAACACTTTCTCCTTGACTCTCCCTTCAGTTGACATGAAGATCAGTGGGCGAAAAGATTAAGTGACAGTTTACAAAGGACCTTTTATATGAAAGACACAAAAAACCATCCAAAAACTATTGATTTTCAAGTCAATACGAACAGGATCGTCCCGTACGATCGTAAGATCGTCCCGTATGATCGTAAGATCATCTCGTATGATCTTAAGATCGTCACGTACGAACAGTGCAAAATTGTTGCGTACGATTCATTATATGTATTGGGATGAGGTGACTTCGTACACGATCATCGTCCCGTATGAACTAGGTTCGTCTGGTACGAACAGTTATTTTATAGCCACCCAGAAAAATAACTGCAGACATTTCATACGTTGAAAGAACAGAGCAATTCATCCTGGGACGAATGTTTATGTTCGTCCGTATGAACAGTTCAAAACATTTTCACCCGAGAAGATCGTCCTATGATGATCGATGTATTTCGTCCGTACAAATAGTTCAAAGTGAGAATCCATAGGAGATCATCCAAGGACAATTAGTCCATTTTGTCCATATGAACAATTCAAAGTGAGAATCCAGAGGAGATCGTCTAGGGATGATTAGTCCATTTCATCCGTACGAACAGTTCAAACTCAGAATCCAGAGGAGATCGTCCTGGGATGATTAGTTTATTTCGTTCGTACGAACAGTTCAAACTTAGAATCCATAGGAGATCGTCCTGGGACGATCAGTCTATTTCGTCCGTACGATCTGGACTTAGAAAAATTTCTCTATTTTTCTTGTTCGTTCCATTGCTCTCCGAGGGGATTAATTGACTTGATCATCCCGTACGAATATGGTTCGTCTTGTATGATCAGTGTGATTTTTTAAAAGATCTCTCCAAGTGTGTACGTGTTAAGCTATTCAATTTCAATCATATTTTCTTAAACTCAATTAAAATAAAAATTACAAACTTCAATTTATAAACTATCTCATGTTGAATTTGATTTAAAGTCTTTATTAGTCTGGAGTTCTATTATCCTGAAATGTTAGTCCACACAAGAGCAAAAATAATTCTTTTAAAAAGTGTTAAGAAAAAAATAAAACTTAAAACAATAATATTTAAAATCATCAAAACTATACAAGTTGCAAGAAGGTAAAACATGTAAATAGCAACTCTCTTAACAATCTCCCCCTTTTTTATGATGGCAAAATAATTATTATTTGTATAATTTTCAAATTCTAAGAATCTCCTAAACTCCCCCTGAATTGATAAACATATGAAAATAAGGATGATTTGTACTACAATTTTATCTCTTATTGATATTATTATTATTATTGTTTTTTTAATATAAAAAAAAACAAGAATACGAATAGGACAAAAATACGAATAAAATACGAATAATATTTTCTCCCGCTTTTTGACAACAACAAAAAGAAAAGAATAAAAAGACCAAAAATGTAAGCAGTCATATGATAATCCTTTTATGATTGATCTTTGAAAGTGATTGAAATAAATTTTGCAAATAAAACCAAATCATTAGGCAAATAAAATGATTCATAGAATTTAAGAAGAGATATAACATTGATAATA